CATACAATTTGCTTTCCTAAATGTCTCCCTTGCTAAAAATTGAACACAGTAAGCATAAAGGTTTAAAATATAAACAGCTACTTAAATATTCAATATGCAGACTCATTTTAAATTCAACTTTAGTCAAGTATATATCAAACATTAATGACATCTCTGTCACATCCTGACACAATCCTACATCTCAGCAATCACAATCATACCAGAGCACACTCCACATTGTGCCAATCACAACAAACACATTTAGTTTAAGTCTCTGGAACAAAAATAGACAATGTGATAAAATCATGGGGAAAAAGAGGGAGGGGGGGGGGGGCTGATGGATAAGGAAAGCCTTTTCTTTAAACTGGGTCTGCCTCCCAAAAAGAACAGTTTTTAAATAACCTATCAGCATGAGATCACTAGTTACCTATAAAGGGTTGTGGTTTTATGTAAGAATTAATAATAATAATTTATTGAGCACTGAAATGTTTTTACATTTAGAGGCTCTCTAACTACTATACATTATACATACGAAAAGATAGTAATGATAGTAAGTAAATGAAAGAGAGAAAAAAAATTATACTTATATAATGTTACACAATATACATTCTCTTAATATGCAGGTGAGATGCATGAAATCATTTGTGCACTCCAGAATTAGAGATTGAATTTTTTTCTTCAAAATTTCACTTGATTTCATTATTGAAAAAATGTGTTATATGTACATCTCTTGCATTTCTGGTATTATCATTTAGATATCAGAAATGAATGAATATATTTAGTTCATAAACTTAGCACCAACACCAACCTGTAGGCTGGTGGTGGGGGGGGGGGGCAGGGTCGGGGGGAAGGGTTAAATAGAACTGCTCTTTTGGTTAGGAAAGATTCTGCTCTCACTCAAAAATGTACCTACATATACCTCCTTTGCCAAAATTGTCAATTTGGGCCAACTAAGCTGGTAAAAAAGACACCCCTTTATTTAAAGAACCCCCTGCCCCTTGAAACTGCTGGTTACACTCTTCCAACATCTGAATTATTCTTCAACCTTTTGTAGGCTTCTTTTCCTGCCAAGCTGAGGGCAATACTCAGAAACTCTCACCACATATTCATATATACATATACACTCTGCGTGAGTGAACTCTACCAGTACACTAAAATCCCATTGCCTGACTATATAGCACACCCTGTTGTATCTGGTCTCATTGACACCAATGGAAACAGCATCAATTATGCAGTATCTCTTAATTCAAGGGCAATTGATTCAAATAATTAACACCTTCACAAATGCTTCAGGGAAGATCAAACACCCACTCCACCTACTAATCAGGTGCCATTTTATAGAAAACAGGCTAATCACAATTACACGATTCAATGACAGAAAAAATGCCAATTAGCCAACATTTCACAGTAATATACATTTATCTGTGATCTACGTCGCAAGGCCAGCAATTTCAACTGGGGTTGTTTCTCTGAAATGTGAATCTTTTTACTCCCTAAGTTGACCCAGTTGACAAAGTAATAGTCAAATGGCAGAGAACTTTGATCAAATTTTTATACATGTGAGGATGTTTATACATTCGAATTTGGGATTTACCTGTATATATTTCATCACTAAAAGCTCAGATGATTTGCAAGATAATGATAGTACAGAGAGAAAGAGAGAGGGAGAGGTTCAATCAAATTCTCTGAAGAGGTCCATTAATTTCATACCACTGGGGACATATTGATATTAATGGCACATATTACATCAGCCACTTCTCACTGATCTACTGGGACATACATAATTTATATTCAATTACCCAAATAACATATTTTGATGCACAGGAAACACTTAAGCTTTATTCCCAGGTGCCCTTTCTGATCCCATTTCCCACCAAAGCAAGTGTGCAGTGTTCATTCCATTAGCTTACTTTATAGAAGAAAATTTGTAATTTCCCCACAGAGTCCACATATGCTTCATGGTACCGGTACTGAATTAAACCCTGTGGTTTAATTCAGCTAGGGTGGGGGTTGTACAGAAGGAGATAATGGAGAGACTATTTTAGTTGAGGGGAAGGGGGTGGGGGAGGGGGTCCTGTGAGATGGAACTTGATCAGCCAAGCAAAGAATGACTGAATCTACATCTTGTAAGTTAGGTGATAAATAAATAAATAAATAAATAAACACACAGATTCAAACACACATACTTCATCCAGATCACAATCTCAACATTCTACATCATAACATTGGAATTACATACATTTTGTTTTACAGGAAATAAACAAACATCACTTCACCACACTCTCATGTTCCTTTCCCTAGAACTTCATTCTTCTATTGAATGAATCAATAATTTGCTAACAGCACTGAATTGCTACCATCTATCATTATAATACTTTTCACTGCTGGTTTGTGTTGATTATATCATACATCTGTCATCTTACAATAAAACTTATATCTGAAATTATATAGGTACATAAATGGTGGTGTAAATTAATCAATTATATCAATAAATCCTATGATATCTAAAAGTTAAACAAAATAAATTCTAGAAACATAAGACAAAAAGCTTAATAAATAAAAAATTGCAACTGATTTCATAATAAGGAAAAGTTAGGAATGCTTTCAGATAAAGTTGTGTGCAATCTGTGAGTATGTTAAGTGCCTTTTGTTAAGAAAAGGACTCGACAAGTCCAGTTTTCATTTTGAACAAAGTAAATATTTTTTAAAAAGATGCCTGCATTTTAAAATATGTAATTCATGTC